AGGATGGTCTCGATCTCCTGACCTCGTGATCCACCCGCCTCGGCCTCCCAAAGTGCTGGGATTACAGGCTTGAGCCACCGCGCCCGGCCGCCTATATTTTATTTTTTAAGACAGAGTCTTGCTCTGTTGCCCAGGCTGGAGTACAGTGGCACCATCATGGCTCACTGCAGCCTTAACCTCCTGGACTCAAAACAATCCACTCACTTCAGCCTTCTGAGTAGCTGGAATTACAGGCACATGCCACCGTGCCTGGCTAATTTTTAAAAAATTTTTTGTAGAGATGATGTTTCGTCATGTTGCTGAGACTAGTCTCCAATTCCTGAGCTCACACAATCCTCCTGCTTAGGCCTTCCAAAGTGCTGGGACTAGAGGTGTGAGCCACTATACCCAGCCATCCTCTCTGTTTCTTAGAGGAGAGAAAGTAACTCGCCCAATTCACAAAGCTAGTGTATGTCAGGGCTGGCATTTGAACCCAGGCAGTTTAAAAATACATTCTGTCTGATCTTTTAGGGATCAAGCAGGTTTGTGAGATAACCAATTAGAAATATGTGGTAAATGGCTTTAGGGGAAGGCTTAGTTGCAAACTGAAGTGCCCACAGGGCCAGGCAGGTGAAATCAATGTGTTATTCAGGCTGGGCAGGGAGAGGCCTGTGGGGCCATGTGGACAGTGTGACGCCCAGAGGCGTCCCTGTGAAAATTCCCCCAAAACAAGCCAGGCACAGTAGTAAGCATCTGTTGTCCCAGCTACTCAGGAGGCTGAGGTGGGAGGATAGCTTGAGCTCAGGAGTTGTAGTCCAGCCTGGGCAACATAGCAAGACCCCGTCTCAAAACAAAACGAAACATGCCTAGAGGCCATATGGGGCCCCTTGCTCACAGCAGCTCTCGCCCAAGCCCACTGTATCTCAGCCTGGGGTCAGGAAAGCAGGCTTACCAGGGCATACCAGCATGTCGGGGGTTTGAAGGGTAATGCCACAGAAGTGCCTGACCTCCTATGTAATAACATAAGGCATGAGATGTATCAATGAGCGGAACTGACAGTGGACAGGAAGAACAGTCCGTTCAGAAACAGCAAGAGTGGGCCGGGCGTGGTGGCTAACGCCTGTAATCCCAGCACTTTGGGAGGCTGAGGCGGGTGGATCACTTGAGGTCAGGAGTTTGAGACCAGCCTGTCCAACATGGTGAAACCCCATCTCTACTAAAAACACAAAATTAGCTGGGTGTGGTAGCAGGTACCTGTAATTCCGGCTTCTCAGGAGGCTGAGGGATGCTGGAGAATCACTTGAACCCATGAGGCAGAGGTTGCCGTGAGCCAAGATCATGCCAATGCACCCCAGCCTGGGCAACAGAGCGAAACTTAGCTTTAAAAAAAAAAAAAAAAAAGGCCTGGCACCTGGCACGGTGGCTCACACCTGTCATCCCAGCATTTTGGGAGGCCGAGGTGAGCGGATCATGAGGTCAGGGTTCAAGACCAGCCTGGCCAATATGGTGAAACCCTGTCTCTACTAAAAATACAAAAATTAGCCAGGCATGGTGGTGCACGCCTGTAGTCCCCGCTACTTGCAAGGCTGAGGCAGAAGAATCGCTTGAACCCGGGAGGTGGAGGTTGCAGTGAGCTGAGATCGCGCCACTGCACTCCAGCCTGGGCAACAGAGAGACTCAGTCTCAAAAAAAAAAAAAAAAAAAAGAAACAGTAAAAGAGGTGGGGAGCTATCTGTTGCTGAAGGAACACGGTTGTTCATAGCCTAAATAACTCCACCACTACGAGCTGTCAGATACCACACTTCTGGGATGAGAGGGAAGTCCATGGGGGCAACTTCCGCCCCAGGGCTCATCTAAAGATGCAGATTCCTGTTTTAGGACTTAGCCTCGGCCTCATCATTGATCCAAGTCCCTTGCTATAATCCCTAGGTCTGCTTTTTTTGATTTGTTAAAAGGAGGGTTATATCAGAGGTTGAACCTGTAAATGTGTTTTCAGTTGGTTTTCACCTACATAAACATCAGTTTCACATGGTTCAACTCCATAACTGTCCTACCCACGTTGTACATGAAAATGAAGCATGAGCCAAAGGCTCACTGCCATGTACACAGCGGGCACTCAGTGAGTGGGAAATTTAAGTGGTAGTTCTGGAACCAGATGGGCATGAGCCTTCCTCACCCACTTCTAGCAAAGCCACCTGCATGGGAACAACGTCAGGCAAAGCAGTTTTTTTTTTTTTGAGAGAGAGTCTCATTCTGTTGCCCAGGCTGGAGTGCAATGGCGCGATCTCGGCTCCTGAAACCTCTGCCTCCCGGGTTCAGGCGATTCTCCTGTCTCAGCCTCCCAAGTAGCTGGGATTACAGGTGCGCGCCACCAGGCTCGGCTTTTCGTATTTTTAGTAGAGACGGGATTTCACCATGTTGGTCAGGCTGGTCTCCAACTCCTGACCTCGTGATCCATCCACCTCGGCCTCCCAAAATGCTGGGATTACGGACGTGAGCCATCACGCCCGGCCAGGCAAAGCAGTTCTTAGAGGGAAATTCACATTCATCAGTTCCTCCTGGGTGTTTGACCTTCCCGCTCCCACAGCGGCCTGAATCCGTAACTGTCAAGTCTGGTTTTCAGCTGTGGATACACAAGTCACTGCCCGAAGGCCACCATCCAGACTAGGGGGAAGCCTCGATTCTTAGAGGTGGTACAAACCAGGCTCTCACTGCATCTGGGTTTTGTGGAAAAAACAATCCCCTCGAGGGTAACTGGAACTTAATGGATGCGCCGCTGGTGCAAGGCGCTCTGTCTCCCTGTTTATGATGACTCATAATCCCTCCAACTCTCTGCGAATGTGACACAAAGGAGGGGGTCACAGTGGCTGAGGCCAAGGAGCCCTTCCTCTCTGTGACGGGCGGCCCCAGGTCTGCGCGGCGGTGAAGACAGACTGGCAGTGGGAGGCAGGGGACTGGACAAAGAGTTGAGACGCGTGGTCCTCGAGAACAGCACTGTGGGAGTCCCCCGAATTGGGGCGCGCCCGTCCAGAGGAGAATGCCACCTCTAGCCACTGGGGCGCCTGGGGGCAGGGCGGAGACCCAGGGGGGCGTTCCTTCGCCGCTGCAAAGGAGGGCGACCGCTGGGCAGCTGGGGTTGGCGCGGTATCCCCGCCCTGCCCAGCATCTGTCCCACGTTTCCTCAGGCTGAAGTACCTGGAGCCCGGGCTTCTTCCTAAAGTAAAACTCGCCCCGGAAAGGCCAACAGTCCAGCGGCCAGACAGGCACCTGGGAACACGGATGCTGTCCTAACCCGTGCGGGAGAGGGGGTGGCGCCCGGCACTGCGCGCCTCCTCCCCGCCGGGAGAGTGCGTGCTAAGCTCAGCAAAGCCCCGTTGTGGAGATGGAACCATGTCGCCCATTACCTAATGAAACCGAGAAGGGAGACACAGTCTCTCTTCTAACCCGCAGGGCAAGCTCTGCTGGACTTGGCATCGTCCGCCCTCCACGATCCCACACTCCGGGTTTTCCCCATTCCCAGCTCGGCTGCACCGGAGAGACAGACGGAAGAAACTGCCAATGGAAGGACGCAAAGCGTCAACTTTGTGTTCGCCCGCCACTCTCGGCCAATGTGCGCTCGTCTCGCCGGAGTCCCGCCTTCCGTGTCGGGCGCCCCCTTTTGGCAGCACAGGGACGAACCCTACCTCTCGCCATCTTGTGTGTGGCACAGGTAAATTTCTGGACTATCTTTCCACCTATTCTGGTCTTTTTCCCCACACAACCGATCTCTTAGTTCGACAGCCAAGTGCGGTGGCGATAAGGCTGGCGTAGCCAGCTGTTGTCAGATCGCCCACATGAGTTAGATCGCAACGTCACGCCACGCTTGCCGAGCCCGGCGCCATCTTGAGTGTGGCGTCTTGATGCTCCCCTTTCTCGGGGCTCCGCATGGTTCTCTAATGGCCCCCCAAATTTCAGGCAGTCCCCAAAGATTAGCCCAATTGGCTCAAGAGATGATTATTTTCCCCGAGTAACTCTGTAATGTTCATGTGCTCATCGCAGTCCAGCAGTGGGGTGGGAGAAGGGTAGACTCGATGACCCGGCGGGCCCCTGGAGGAGACTGCCCTGAAGCTGTCGCGACGGCAGTGACCGCTCGGGACAGGCCCTAACCAGAGCCCTAGAGTGAGGGGACCGCTATGCCGTGCGGGACCCGCGGACTATCCCACTCGAGGGACATCGCGCATCGCGGCATCGGGCATCGAGTCCCCTTGATACATGAATCCCTCTGTGCGCTTGACCCGGTGCCTGCTTTTCGACTGGCTTGGCCGACGGACGCCGGACCTGATGGTGGGCAAACTGGGTCGCCTGCCCACAAGACTGGGTGCCCTGCCCTGGGCGGGCACGAGGATATGGCAGAGAGACGGGGCGGCCCAGGTGCCCGGGTCTCGGCCTCGGGACCTCGTTGCTCGTCGTGGGGCTGCCGTCCACTTGCACTGGGACAATCCTTGGTCGAAGGCGCCCAGGCGCGGG